GCTACTCGGAAGGCTGAGGTGGAAGGATCGCCGGAGCCCAGCAGGTAGAGGCTACGGTGCCCGGGAGCGGCCACTGCACTCCAGTCTGGGCAACAGAGTGAGACTCCGACTCAAAAAAAAAAAAAAAAATGGCCGCCCAAGAGCTGCCTTCCACAACCTCTTTTTCCACTTCTCTGCAAGACACGTGTCACCATAAGGTGTTTTTCTTGCTCAGCTGTTGGTTCTGTCCTGTTGCCTGGTTTTTAAGCCCCATAAGAGGAAGATCAGTGACCTTGGTCACTAGGGCACCCTCATTACTCTCAGCGGTGCCTGGTCCTCTGTAGACACTCAGTGGATACGTTTCAAGCAGGGGAAAGAGGGGCAGCAGGGGAGGGAGGGAAGGAAGGAAGAAAGAAAAGGAGGGAAGAAGGGAAGAAACAGGAGAAGAAAGGGAGGAGGAAAGATGGCAGCTCTTTCCCGAAGCCCAGATCTTTATACCTGCTATTAAGGTATAAAGATGCAAATTCTTGCTGCAAATTCTTGCTACTCATCCCATTGAGAGGTGGGCCTACAACCCCTTTCCTTGAATCTGGATGGACGCTGTCACTGCTTGACCAATGAAATAGGGCAGAAATTGCACCATGCAATTTCCAAGCTCAGGCCTTAGGAGACTGGAAACTTCCACCTCCAGTCTCTCGGAAGGTCAGGTCTAGGGCTCCGAGCCACCACACAGGAAGTCCAACTACCCTAGACCACCATGCTGGAGAGTCCAGTGTGGCTGCTCCGTTCAGGGTCCAGCTGAGCCCAGCCCCCCAGTCACTCCACCCAAGGCACCAGACCTGAGACCCTCCCGCCAAGGCATTCACCAGCTTCATCTGGTGCTGTGAGGAACAGCATGGCCCAGCCAAGCCATGCCACAATTTCTAACCCAGAATGCCATGTGTCACAATGAAAATCATGAGACAAAAACAAAGCCATGGATGTTGCTTTTGTCACACATTTGGGGTAATGCATAACACGGCTATAGAAAAACAAGATATCCACATCCTACTGACTGTCCAGTTGGATGACTCAAAGGCACTTAAAACAGAGCCTGTGTCCTTCCTTCCACACTGACCCCAACCACCGCCCAAGGCTGCCCTTTCTCCAGAGTCCTCAGTCTCCAACACAGCCCCAGCATCTACCCAGGAACTCAAGTCAGAAGCTGGGGGTCACACTCGCCATCTCCCTCCCTCACGGGCTGCAGAGTGGGGAACCCGGAGGGCCTTATGCCAAGGGAAATAAGCCAGTCACAAAAAGACAAGTATGCGGAACCTCACATCGTCAGACTCCTACAGACGGAGAGTAGAATGCTGGTTACGCAGGCCTGGGCAAAGGAGGAATGGGCAGTCTGTGTTTCACGGGGCCAGCTTCCGTGTCGCAAGATGAAGCTGCTCTGGAGATGGAGGCTGGGAGGGGCACAGCAGTGTGAGCGCACTTGACTCTGCGCGCCCGTGCACTAAACCATGGTGAAGAGGGTGGCGTTCATGTTGTGTTTGTACTGCAGTTAAAGAAAGTAAAACAGGCGGGGCACAGTGGCTCATGTCTGTAATCCCAGCACTTTGGAAGACAGAGGTAGGAGCCCGGGAGCTCGAGACCAGCCTAGACAACATAGTGACGCCTCGTCTCTACCAAAAAATTTACCTGGGAGTGATGACTCACACCTGTAGTCTCAGCTATTCAGGAGGTTGAGGCAGGAGAATCGTTTGAGCCCAAGAGCTCAAGGCTGCGGTGAGCAGTGATCATGCCACTGCACTCCATTCTGGGTGACAGAGTGAGACCCTGACTCAAATAAATTAAATTAAATTACGTAAAATAAAATACTCTTGATTTGGATCCTGTCTTCTGGCAGTGTAAACCCTCCCGTGGTTGTCTGTTGCATTCAGGATCAACCACAGAGTGTCAGAGTCGGCTGGGACAATCAAAGGCATCACTGTCCAATGAGGTCCATCCCCTAGTTCAAGCCCCTGCAAAGTGAGCGAGTGCTCAGTTCCTTCTGGGACCGGGCCCTGTGCCCAGCCTTTGCATCCTGATGGACCATCAGAACCACTTGGTCCTAGTATCTTGGGCAGTGCTATTTTTGTTCAAGCTGGTCCAAAAGTGCAAGCCCATTAATTCACCCAGTGGTCAACCAAAGAGCAAAAAGGGGGAAATGGCCTTTCTGAACTGAATCAAAAAACATATGTTAATATCATAAGGTATATACAAAAAGCATGCACTTGAGGGAACTTCTAGAATTAACTCTGACTTTATAGAAATGTGAGTTATTCCACCCCTCTTTAGAATCTATGCCTCACACACACAAAAATGCAGCCCTGCCGTAGTGACTAATATCTACCTAATGTTGTTATACTCTAAATTCCTGGTTCACTGCTGAGTTTCTGGCACACAGCAGGTACTCAACAAACCTCTAGCAGATGAAAGAGGGTCTGCCTGGAGTCAACTCTTCTGGGTCTTCCCACTTCCTTCTAACTGCCCACTGAGCCGGAGGGGCCCAGGTGATTCTAGCCAAGAGTCCAGTGTGCTTGGCAGACACGTGGCCATCTGGCTTCAGAGGGACCCTCCCGATTTTGTGGCCTCAGGCAATATTGAAAGGGGTCAGCCCTGAGCACTGGAATGAGCAGGGGAGCTTAAAAGCCTCTGAGCCGTGGGATAATGAGGGCAGATTTGATCACGCAGAGGCTGGCAGCAGAGAGCTGACATCACCCAGAATGACGAACAGGCCCTCTGTGGACGGTCCACTCCCTCCCGCCGCCAGCCATGGCCACTGCAGAGGCCCACATGGTGCCAAAGCCTGCTTCCCCCTTCCTTCCACCCAACCCTGCCATCCTTCCTCCAGTAGAACACAGTGCTTCCTATTCCTTTCTTTTTTTTTTTTTTTTGAGTTGGAGTCTCACTCTGTCGCCCAGACTGGAATGCAGTGGCCGCTCCCGGCCACCGCAGCCTCGACCTGCTGGGCTCCGGCGATCCTTCCGCCTCAGCCTTCCGAGTAGCTGGAACTACAGGCACACGCTACCACACCCGGCTAATTTTTGATTTATTGTAGAGATGAGGTCTCGCCAAGTTGCCCTGGTGGGTCTTGAACCCTCAGGCTCAAGCCATCCATTCGCCTCGGCCTCCCAAAGGTGCAGGATTACAGGCTGAGCTGCCAAGCCTGACCTTATTCCTTTCTCTTCACTCCATCGCTCCTCCCACAACCGTCCAGGGTCCAGCCTCACCCTTTCCTTCCCCTTGCTGCTGCAGAGGCTTCTGTCCTGGCCTCCCTGCCTCTGGACTCATCGTTCCCCATCCTTGTTGCACTCTGTTGCTGGGGGATCACTCCAAAACACACACGGAGGAGGTCCTCTCTTGCGCCCGGCAAAAAGACCAGACTGGCCAGGCCTCGGAAGCCCTGCTCAAGGCAGGGCCCACCCAGCGGGGCCCTCTTTCCTGTTCCCCACGCTGCTGCTTGGCTTCACAGGTATGGAAGTCATGCTGAACCACTTGGGGCTTCCAAAATGAACCACGGTGTCTTTTGCCTCTGCATCTCTGCACATTGTGTGCCCTCTGCCCACAACGCTTATTCCCTGCCTGACCACCTGGTGAACTTCCAATCACTCCCTGCTGACACAGACAATACTGGGTGAGTGACTGTGCACACCTTCCTCTCCTTGCTACTTTCCATCACAGAGGCTAGAAAGCAAACCGTCCCATTTCCCAGACTCCCTTGCAGCTATGGGTGCCCACATGAGCACTGCCTGGCACCAGCCTTTCCCCCCTGCTTTGTGGCTTGAACACAGATATGGAGCCTGGTACTGCCACAGCCACCTTGTGATGGGGTTTGGCAACCAGCACCACACTACGCATGGTCAAGGAGCAAAACGAGCACTGCCTGGTAGCTTGGCGGCAGGGTTCTGCTATCAGGTCAACACCCAGCAGACACCCTTCGGGATTCTTGTGAGGTAATTTTTTTTTTAGTTGGAGTCTCACTCTGTTGCCCAGACTGGAGTACAGTGACATGCTCATGGCCACCACAGTCTCAACCTACTGGGCTCAGGTGATCCTTCTGCCTCGCCCTTCCAAGTAGGTGGAACCACAGGTACATGCCACCACATCTGGCTAGAGACAAGTTCTCACCAAGTTGCCCAGGCTGGTCTCAAACCCTGCGCTCAGGCAATCCTCTCGCCTCCGCCTCCAAAAGTGCTGGAATTACAGACATGAGCCACCGCACCAGTTTTTGTGAGATAATTAAATATCACTAAGATTGAAAACACTGCTGGCCAAATTTTCTATCACTTGCAGTCAAAAGTACCCCTGATTGATCCTGGGCCTCACCTCAAGCACCCACTACTCATTGAAGTCTCTTCTAGATCTCTGCTCTTATCAAACCTTGGACATTCCCTGTCTTGGCACTTGTCCTACTCATTGTATTATATTTTCCGCTGTGTCCTTCCCAGACTATACTGTGAGCTTTTTGAGTCTTCTCACCCTTAATCTTAGTGCCCAGCTCAGCCCCTGGCACACAGTAAGTAAATTTGTAGCTATAGGTCTACTTTCCGGTCTCATTTTTCTTGTTACCTGTTTGTCTGTTGCTATTTTCTTGGAGGCAGAGTCTCACACAGACGGGAGTGCAGGGGCATGATCATAGATCACTGTAACCTTGAACACTTGGGCTCAAGCAAACCATCCACCGCAGCCCCTTGAGTAGCTGGAAGGAACTACAAGCACAGGCTTTCACATCCAGCTGACATTTTAAAAAAATTTTTAACTTCTTTGTAGAGACAGGTCTTCCTATGTTGCCCTAACTGGTCTCAACCTCCTGGCCTCAAGGAATTCTCCCACCTTGGCCTCCCAAAATGTTGGGATTACAGGTATGAGCCACCATGGCCGGCCTCGCTTTTAAGTCTTATATTTAAAATTGTTTTTATATTTTTGGTTTTTGGTGGGCTTTTTTTTTGACAAACTGCCTCCACTCCTTATCTGAAAAATGCAAGGAAAACAGAGCAACCGGCTTTGAAACAATGGCGACAACTTGACGCGGATTACCGAAATATTGCAGAGGAACAGAAAGGCCGCGATGTTCCTCAAGACGCTCCTCTTGGCGCCGCCCCGCAAGCGACGGGCAGGGCCGGCTGGGCTCGGGGCCTCCACCCGGCGGCTCTCCTCTTCCCGGCCGCAGCCTCCCCGCGCAGA